AGATGGTTGTTTGATTTCCTTTTTTTTTTTTTTTTTTTTTTTTTTTTTTGATACCAAAAAGGGGTTGGATATCTGTGTTCTTGAAAGGATTATGGGTTTACAATATCTGAAACACCAACACTTGGAAAACGCGGGCTTGGAAAAAGCGGGAAGAGGGCTGATCATTGGGTCAGAGTTACCTTGAAAAGTTTTGGTGAGCGAATTTCTATAATTTTTATCATACCTGGTACCTAGGAAATGGTTGCTTGGCTGGCTCGCTTACCTCTTGGAAGGTAAATCCCTTGTAGATTCAAACGACCTATTCATCTCACTTCACACTTCATTTCTTCAGCAAAATTTCACACACAAACACAAGGACACAACGGAGTCAAGAAATGCAACGCATTGTATGTATGTATGTACACCGAACAACTAACAGACACCAAGCCGGCGGGTTTTTATATGCACAGGATGGCCCTCACTCCTTGCTTCCATTCCCTCTCACTTTGATAACAAAAGAGAACAACAAGAAGAAGCTGACCGATTGACCGCCCCAGGTCTTGCTCAATTTTCCGCACCACTTTGAGTCACCCCTTTTTCCAATCACCCCCAAATCCGCCCTTGAAAATATTCCATTTAAAGAAGGGAGGGGTTGGAGTTGCGGAGAAGCATCTCAAAGTAGTCCTGGTGCCAGGAACCGGCCTCGGGAGAAGGCTGGAAGGCATCGGGCTTGCCGCAGAAGCTGTCATAACGAACGGCGGAGCTGTCGGAGGTACCGTCGGACTCGCCACCGGGCTTGACCCAGACGAAGGCATCGGCGAGCTCGAGACCGGTATTAGCCGAGGGGGGGCGACCGAAGCCGGCACCGTCGACGTTGCACCAGTTGCCCCACTCCTCACGGAGACCCTGGACGCCGCTGCGGCCCGTGTCGACGATGGCGTGGTTGGGCATGCCGGCGGACTTGAGGCGCTGGCCGAAGGTGGTGACGTAGGTACGCTCGTTCTGGCACGAGTTGTACTTGGCGTCGGAGGCCGTGGAGAACTCGCCGGGGGAGAGGTCCCAGGCGTTCCAGCCGGCGACGTTGGTGGCGAAACCGCGGAACTGCTTGGGGCTCCCAGCAGCCTTGTAGGCCTTGGCGAGCTCCTCGGCGCCGGGCTTGAGGTTGGCGTCCCAGCCGAGCCAGCCGCCGTGACCGGCGTCGATGTACTGGACGACGTTGGGGAGGTTGAGCGTCTTGAGCGCGTAGGCGACACCGTCACGGTAGCCGGAGGCCGAGTTCTTGCAGGCCTGGACATCGGAGTTGGTGACCAGGTTGGGGAGCGAATCGGGCTCGATGACGAGCGCGACGGCGGTGTTGGGGTGGGCCTTGAGGATGGAGGCAATGCCTGGAGGAACAGGGTTAGGTCTCTTTGCTCTTTTCTCGACATTGTCAGGAGAAGTATTCACTTACGGTCAATGAACTCGGTCTTGTACCGGTTGAGCTCGCCAACCTTCAGCTCACCGTTGGAGGCCTTGGCAGCGCAGTCACGGCCGGGAAGATCGTAGACGACAACACCGAGGATCTCGTCGCAAGGAACCTCAGCGAGGGCAGGCTCGAGTTTGGCGATGTTGGCAATGGTGTCGAGCCAGACGAAGGAACCGGTGTCGGCGACCTTGCGGGCAGCGGCCTCGAGGGAGGGGTCGGAAAGGTTGGGGATGGCGAGCTCCTCGATCTCCTGGCGGTAGAAGTTGTTGGCGTGGAGAGTGTACTGCTTGAAGACGTTGGTCTGGGCGTTGAGGGAGACGGCCGAGGCGCAACCAGCCTGTCTCTTGGTCGGCCTCTCAGAGGTAGTCGGGGAGGGAGCGGCAACGGCGGTGGCGACGAGCGCCAGGGCGGCGGCGGAGCTGGTGACCTTCATGTTGGGCAACGACGAGTACACTTACTGCAGAAGTATAGGGCCTGGGGGAGGAAGATCTTGTTTCTGCCGAGGAGGGGAGGGTGGTCTGTCTTTATACCGGGGGAGTCTTCCGTCACTTGGCGTTGCTGTGTCCCCCCCTGAAGTCCCAAGTCAATAACAACCTGGATCAGACTGACCAACACGGTTTGCCTTCCTGGCTCACATGGTTCACGCGGCTCGAAGACGGACAGCAGAGCTCTCTGCAATCAGGAAGACAGGCCCGTGGTCTCGGCCAGGAACCTCCGAGGAAGGCTTGAGCCGCGCCGAGCACTCGCCGCTGGAATATAGGGTGCGGGGCTGGTGTTGAGTGCCGAGCAAGGCGACTGGACAGCTCCCAGATCCCCATCTGGTATTTCATATACCGCTTCATTTACGCTCAGGCGACGACCGCCGGCCCTACTCTGGATTGGTGGAAGGCCAACGGGCGGCTACCACTACGATTTGCGAGGAAAATGTGGGGAAGACGGAACTTACCTCCCTATGGGTTGCCATGTGCAATCTGGGGTATTCGTCCATCTCATGCACGTCCGTTCGATCTTCCCCCTTTGGTCACACTGGGGCCTAGGAGGGAAAGGGCGCTGCCAACCCCTTGCACCCACCATCGTCAGCTCTTGTGGAGAACGCTGGCGATCGTTGCTGGAGGCAGTGGGGGCTCCGAGCCGTCAGCCGTGTTGGAGAAATCGCGACTACCGCCAAGATAATATGCGGATGCGGAACAGAGGGCGCTCGCCAGATTGTCTGCGGTTGGATGAATACTGTGGGAGGCATGGTGCCATCAGAAACTGTGCTCATATGATCACGATCGAAAGGGGGTGAGGACCCTGAAAGGTCCGAAGTGTGGCAACATGACAATAATACAATGGTGAGCATTCCTCTTGTCATGTTTGATTTAACATGGGAAATGCCGACATGTCTGTATGACGGTCCCCTCTCAGGAACTGGACTGGAAGGGATGGGACAGGTCTGAGCAAATGCACGATCCCCCCTCACCCCAAGGGATCGGGATTTGGTCGAGTTGCAAAATGCGGGGTCTCCACAAAATGTCAGGCTGTTGAGTTAGGTAGTGTGTGGTGCTCTCTCACAGGGGCGGCAAAGTGAGAGAAGGCTATGTACGTAGTTGGCTGGGGAGGGTCCGGGTACTACTGTGTCTTCGGGGCCAAGCGGCAGTTTAGATGGCTAAAATACGCCATCATCTGAAACAGAGCTTGGTTATTTGCTGGTTGCCTTATAAACGGTTATAGTGCCGCGCCCATTAAGCCGCAAAGTCATGTATTAGCCGGCACATGCACACCCACACACAACTTAGACTCGCATACACCAATCCCTCCCCCAAAGCTGCTTTCTGTCTTGAAAATCCCAAGGAGAAGGGTCACACGCAGCCGAACAAAAACTCTCCGGGGTGGTTTAGCCGAAGCGGCCTTAAAAGCCCGATGGAATGCTTGTATTATTTGGGCGGCAGGAACAAACGTTGAGTACATACATACAGGCCCGTCCATTCAAGCAATGAGAGACATTGTGCCTCGTTCGGCAACGGAGCTAGCAAACCGGTGACCTAGGCGGGATTGGGGATGTTACACGTTGTATGTACCTACGTTGTGCTCAATGCCTTCGCTCCAGATGCGCGCGTGGATCATAGCCCTTTTCTTCTTTAGAGGCCATGCAGTTCATTATTGCTTGCCCGGAACAGCGACAGCTAGGATCCGAGTGCACGCCACCACCCACCCTCGCCACATACAACATACATCGTCACACAGTTACACATATCCAAGATGGAGCAAGTGTTGGAACTGGGGAAGGATGCGGTGGTACCGACTGAGAGTATTTACCTCATATTGCCTCCCGAGTTCCGTTGAATGTGGTTTGGAACCAGCCAGTCTCGCGTCAGCGCTTCGGTGTTGCCCGCTGGGGTTGATACCGGGAAGGTCTCACGGCAATTAGGACGGTAAGTAGGGCCGAGGTGACATTGTGGCTAGGGGAGGTGGACATGAATGAGTGAATTGTAAACCGGGAATATCTCAGTCTGATACCGATCTCTCCAGGCTTGGTGTTCCCTCGCTCCAGCAACAACACAAACTCTTGTGCTTGGTGACCTAAGCATTAACATTTGTCCTGCTTATTGTTCAGTTTGTAGCAATCCTGACGGCATTGCTAGAATCAAACATTCAAGAACCTGAGATCAAGTATTTGAGGTGTTTAGATTGAATCCGAAAAAACTGGGATCAAATATCTCATGAGCGAGCTTGGGCAAGATATCGTAAGGCTCAGATACTACCTAATGGTCTCAGAAAGTTACGTCTACCCAGTAATCAGTAGCCTACAGCATCCTACTTTATTCAAGCTATTATGTTCATCACTTAGAGCAGAAATTCCATAAGCGTGCCCAGAACCCAGACTCATATTTCATTTTCTCACAAATGTATCCTACATCTTTAAGGACTAGTATTTGGTCACTTTCAAAAGAAACAAACTCAAAATTCAGAGTTTCAGGCACATACAAACTTGAGTCAGGGGTTTAATAACTACTTACCCTACCACACGAGCCACTGACATCAACCTGACCTTCATACTCCCACATACCTCGTCGACCCGCCATCATCTTCATATCTTTTATCCTCTTGCAATCTCATTTTCATTTCTCTCGTTTCCCAGAATCAATACTGACACCAATACAAAAAAAGGACTCTAGCCCTCGATTAGTCCTTCACCAACAGGCTTAACTCGGACAGCCACAGCTGTCAGCGATACCATCACATCAAAGGAAAGGCTCGTCTCTTCAGTCCTGGGGCAGATTGTTAGTACTGGCCCCGTCATGACAGAGAGAAACACTCGGTCAGCGACGACGAATGAATGCAGCCGCGAAGAAAGATTGATGGATTTCTAGGTTCCCCTGGCAGAAAGGTCCTGTACTCCACACTCCAACAGCCACCATCCTTGAGGTTACCTCCCGACTCAACTCGACCATTGCCGACCGTCCCTTCCCTGCCTGTTTCACTTGCCAGAGCCCACATATATATACCCTCCCTCCTCCTCCTCATCCAACAATCCCCACAACCCTACAACAGGTGTCCACACCTGAAAAGAAAATCTTCCGTAGTATAGTGGTCAGTATGTGAGCTTGTCATTCTCCTCTCTTGAAGAGACAACAACGCTCGAGACCCGGGTTCAATTCCCGGCGGGAGAGTACAATTTTGTTTTTTGCCTCTCATTCCTCCTGTTAACCTATGCAGGCTTTTTGCCGTCTTTGACTCGCTGCTTCCTGGTTGCAAATGATAGTGGGATTGAGTGAGAAGCGGAGACTATTATTTGTCTTTTTGCGGAAGTTGAAGTATGTAAGGTAGTTTAACAAAGAGAAACTTGAGCTGCAAATTAACAGTTACTAACGATATCTTTGGCAAAGAAGATATCTACACACACAAACTGAAAATGCCAAGATAAGAGATAGAAACAGTTTTGGAACAAAGTCGGGGAAACCAACCCCAACAGTGCCTGACTGCATAAAAGCCGGGATCATGATGATTAAACGCTCATATTGAAAAAAAAGAAATAGGAGATACTACTACCCTGAGATTCAGGGACAAAAGAGAAGTGCCCAATAACAGGATTGAACTGTTGACCTTCGCATGGACTACATATAACCACCAGTGGCATCCTAGTGATAATGTTATATTAGTACGACGCTCTAACCAGCTGAGCTAATCGGGCTTTGGTGAATTGATATTCTTATGATGGCGTGTCAAGCTAGATAATGCCGTTCGCATGTTCTACCGCACCTACATACTCTCTTACACTCTTTTCGCCAACATGAAAATATCATACGTGCATACGGACAGAGTTTAACAAAGTTCTATCATCACTTTTCCATTTTTTCCCAAATTCAAATTCTTTTTTGCGCCTTTTACATGCTAAATAAACAACGCATTCTTAAGAAAAAGAAAAAAAGCCCCCTAAAATAAGGTCCTGTTGTACACACACATCTGATTTTATATCTTGACTCTCTTTCCTCGCCTTCCCCACGGTCAGACCAACCTTTTCTCAACTCTTTCTCGCGACAACCCCATTTAAACAAAAGGAGGCAACCTAAAAGGATACCCCGGGTTCTTTCCCCGAAAGACGCTCAGCAAGAACGCATAAGTAAAGTAGAAGATACCACCCCACGCCAGCACAGCAACACCCTGCGTCTTGGCATCGCGGATCCGGGGTACCTTGATAGCGAGGGAGATGCCTGCCAACGACAACAAACCATCTATTCCCATAATATTAGCACACATATCCCTTCAATAACCCACAGAGAGAGACGAAAACTTACACAAAGCAGCCACAATCTGCGTCTCCAGTCCATACTGGCTCTGAAACCCAGAAGCAAAGTAGCTGATCCCGCCCTTTCCATCTGAGGCAACGTAGGGGACCTTGCGGATGTGATTGTACATGTGCCCGCTGGTGAACAGCAAGATGGAAATGAGGGTGAGGGCGGCCCAGATGTTGCGGGACTGGATGATGGGAAGGATGTAAGGCCAGGCGACGTACGAGGCTGTGAGGCTGCCGAGGGTGAGGACCGTGGTGGAGATCCAGCGCATCCAGTTGATGGGTCTTTTCACGGGGGGTGGGGGCGGTCGGGGAGGTGGCGGGCGATCCAGGTGTGGACTACTTCGGCGATTTGGGGGCTGTTTTTGCGAGGGGGGGTGTTAGTTTGAGGTTGGATATTGGGGGCATCAGAAAGGGGAAGGGAGAGAGGTTACCCGTTGGAGAAGTCATAGCGGAGGGGCTCGGGGTTGGCGACGGCGTGGGGACCGACGGTGGGTGGGAAGAGGAGGAGGACGGGGGCGGTTTGGAGGCCGAGCTATATCAAGAATAAGGATGTTAGCTGTGGGGTTTTGAGAAACACATGTTGGGGGACCCGTACACTCATGAAAATCTCCCTCCCGTCGGCAAAGTCCAAAGTTCCAAAGAGAACCCTCGATTCACCAGCCTTGTCCCCCTTGACCCAGCTACGCGCAAGAAGATCCCACTCGGGTTGGAACTCGCGGCAGAGCTGGCAGTTGAATCGGGAGTCCATGGCGGTCAGGACAACGGCGGCCGTGTAATCGCGCGGTTGGCTGGTGAGTTCCCTGTAGGAGGGATCGCTGAGCTTGATGGGCGCTGCGGATGAGGAAGCAATCGATTTGGCATGGAAAGAGTTGAAGCGCTCCTCGCTCGTCTTCTTTGCTGCCAACGACCCGCCGGCGAAGGCCAGCGAGGCCGTCAGGAAAGCGGGCAGCCAGCGCATGGTGTGGTTCGAAGTGTGTGTGTGTGAAGGAAACAATCAAGTCAAAAGAGCGTGCGAGTGGTGGTTATGGCGATCAATCGACGACGACGACAACGACGACGTCTCAATAGCTTCTCCAAATTCCAATTCCAACTGTGTCCTCAACGTCAGCGAACTGTTGCAGTGGAGCTGGAGCTCTGCCAGTTACACCCCTGCAGCTTCCCGTGCTTGGCAGGTCTGGCAAGGCTGGCAATCGGCCCGCCAATTGGGCTGCCAGCGGCTGTCACTTCTTGGCAGGAGAAGCTGAAGAGTGGGGAAATGGTGGGGGCGAATCCGCTAGGCTGTTTTGGGCAGATTGTTTACTCTCAAACCTGGAGTGCAACGCTTTGGTCCCCCCGCCACTGGCGCACCACTTTCTCTTCCGTCATCACACCTCACCGTCGCCAAAGTCACATCGCAACGCCCTCATCTCCTCAAGACTCCCTCGCGGAGGTCAATTCAGTCTTACTAACCCCCACAGTCTTTTTTTATTATTTCTGCGCCCTTGCGCGCATTGTACGTGACCCATGCCGTCGGAAAACGCGTCGTCGCACCATGTAAACATGGACTCTGAAAAGGTGCGAGAACACACATTCATGTCTCTATGCTCCCAATCATTATTCTAATATGTCCTATGCGGCTCAGAGAACCCAAAAGCTCCACGAGCTTGACCTCCAATACCAGCAATCCGCCCACCAGTTAGAACTCGTCATCAGAGAAGAGGACGCGCGACGAGCCAAAGTCCGACAACTCCTCCTCCAGGACGAAACCTCCACCCTCAGAGACCAAATCGCCCAACGAGACGCGCGCATCAAAGATCTTGTCGACCAGGCCGACGATGTGCGCCAGCAGCTCGACAGTCTGCACGAACGGTGCAGGAGGCAGGAGAAGGTGATGCAGACGCAGAACCGTGAGATTTCTAATCTGAAGGTATGCCACACCCCCTTTTTGTTTCTCACTCTACTCTCCAGCGATGCTAATGCTGTGATGCAGGAAGAAATAACAGCCTTCACCACCCTCTCCGTCGACTCCTCCAAGGTCCTCACCGAAAAGCTCGCCCTCTCCCGCGAGCTCTCCCTCCTCAAGCCAGAAGTCGAACATCTAAAGTCGCAACTTTCCCACCAAAAGGACGTCCTTGCCGAGAAGCTAGCCCTCGAAAGACAGCTTAACGCGCTGGAAGTCGAGCTCGCCAACGAGAAGCGGGCCGCGCAGAAGGCTGCACTGCTCCAGCAGCAGCAATCTGAGAATCAGAACGAAGAAGAGGAAGAGAACCTGAGGAAAAAAATCCGAGAGCTGGAAAAGCAGTTGGCCAAAGAGAAGAAGACTTCAGTGAAGGGTTCGGAATTGGAAGAGGAGGCGCAAGGGTTAAGGGAGCAACTGGCTACGGTGGAAAAGACTCTTGCAATGGAAAGGAAACAGGCTGCGCAAAAGGAAAAGGCGGTGGCGGAGGTGCAGCTGGAGCTCGAGCAGCTGAGGTCGAATGTGCAAGAGTTGGAGAAGGAGAAGAAAGCTGCGCTGAAGAAGGCGGCCAAGGCGGAGAAGACCACCGAGGCTTCTGCCGACGGGGAAGAGGTGGAACAATTAAAGGAGGAGCTCACAACTCTCAAAAAGGCCTTGGCCCAAGAACAAAAGGAGATTGAGGCCTTGCGAAAAGAAAACGAGCAAGCGGTGGAGGACGCGGAAGAGCAAAAGAATGCCCTCCTCAACCGGGTCGAGAAACTGAAGAACAAGTACAAGGACACGGTCGAAGAGCTTAAGAAGTGCAGAGCTGAGCTGGAAAGGGCGAATGAGCGGACGGCGGCGGCAACGGCTAAGGTCCCTGCTATTCCTGCTGGTCTTGGGAGCACTACTAGTGTTCCCCTCAAGAAGCCCGGCGCGGCAAAGGCGAATGCTAAGAAGAAGAGGACGGTGGACGAGTTGATGGTGGATGAGAAGGTGTTGATGACGCCGGGGGGAATGGACGACAGGCCGAAACGCCCTCTTAAGAAGAGGGGGTTTGACACGTCGGTGTTGGTGGAGAAGTCGACGTTTTCGATTACGCCGTTTTTGAATAAGACGGTGAATTCGATTGCGGAGGTGGAGGGGACGCCTACTGTTGCGACGGTGGGTGGGCAACAGGCTAAGGGGGCTGCCACTGCTGTTGCTGCTGCGCCTGAGCCGATGGAGGTGGAGGAGGAGCAGCCTGCTGGTGCAGAGGAAGCTGAGCCAGAGGCAGAAGCTGAGCAAGCCCCCGCTGCGTCTAAGGCCAAGAAAATGGTAGAGAAGAAGGCCCGTGGCAGACCAAAGGGGTCGACGAACGCGGCGAAGCCATTGGAGCCTTCTTCGCCTGGAAAGGCAAATGAGGGAGGTGATGATGCGCCAGCGCCTCGTGTCAAGAAGGCTCCTGCTGTTATGCCGTCTTTGGAGAACGTAGCCGAAGAGGCAGAGGCAGAGGGCGAGGAAGCTGCCGTTTCCAAGCCAGCAGCAGAAGCACCGGTGAGGTCACGCTCTATGAGCGCAGAACCGGAAAAGAAGAAGAAGAGGAAACTGCTCGGTGCTGCGGGGCCTCCAACTATTTTTGAGGAGGACGAAGGGGAGAAGGTTGCGCAAACGGCCACGTCAATAACGGCTGCTGGTGGGGTGAAGAAGAGGCCGCCTGTTTCGAGAATGAACAAGGGGCCTATGGGGAAGGTGATGGGCACTGGGGGTCAGGGAAGGCCTTTTCACCGCTGAAGAGGGATAAGAGAGGTGTGGGAGCGAGCTTTTTGGCTTGAGATTTTGTGCTGAGATATTCAGGAGGGGAAAGGCGTTCTTGGGCATGGGAAGGAGTTTGGGGTTGATTGTTTGGCTACATACATACATCTGGGATTGGGATGACTTGCTGTTTCATTTCTTGAATGCATATACTGTTCAACTTAATC